GGACTAATGCCCCTGACACCCAGACAGGGCCCAACTGGGAGGTGGCCCCTCCACGCCCCAGGGTAGGGATCTGGAAGACCCACGCGCAGGAGGCCAGGCTGGACCCTCCCCAAAACGGTTGCAGCTTGGATGGCCCAATGTCGCCCTCTGCAGGCCACATCACCCAACAGCTCCTGCACGGCCACAGCAGCCTGGGCCCAAAGTGTCGGGGTTGGGGCAGCTGGGGTCTGGGAGCACAGCGTTCTTGGGATCTGGGGTCCGAGGGCCAGAGGCCACTAGCAGCCAGGGCCAGGATGCGCATTCCTGTCCCCACATGTGCAGCCCCTACAGGTGTGCTCTCCACTCTCGGACACGCCCCAGCACGTGGTCCCCTGGCCCCTTGAACACACCCCAACACAGCCTGCAGGAAAAGCCTGGGCTGGGTCAGGACCCCCCATCTCTGGCCTTGCCCAGCAGCTGTGGTGATGGGGCTGGCTGTTCCCCAGCGTGCTCCTGTCTCCTGAGCAGCATGGCAGCCTGCGGGGCCCTCCCCTCCGGGACCTTCCCAACAGGACGCGGGGACATGAGCCCGGCCCGTCCAGGGCAGCCCGAGGGACCAGCGAGGGAGCTCGGAGCCCAGGTTTGCGCTCCCAGGTCACACGGGCACCCATGGACACAAAGGCCACCAGCGGGCCCTTCCCAGAGGGTGGAGTGGCATGGATGGGGTCCACACACGGTGGGAAGGTGAGGATGCCAAGGAGCAGCGCCCTGACCGCCTGGGCCACACAGCAATCTTCATTCATCAGGACTCTGAGGGGCCCAGGAGAGTTTGGGGTTCTGCCTGGGCTGGGGCAGCGTGAGTGGAGGCAGCACTTGACTTTAGGGGGAGGCAAGGGCTGGAGAGAGCTAGGGGTAACCTGCAGGTGGGCAGGAAGTGGGGTGCGAGCACAGGGGGAGGGGCTCTGCAGGGAGTGCTGTGGTCAGCCTGTTCTGGCCAGTCTCCCTGCACCCGCATCCCGCTCCTCCCCCGAGGGGACTCAGCCAGGGAGGGTCTGCATGAAGGAAGATGCGAGAGGGATGCTCACATTTGCTCAACCCCAGATGGAGCCTCTCAGAGGGGTGGGGTGGCCAGTGGTGCCCCACAGACTTGGGCTCCTTCACGAGGGGCTGGAGCCCCCGTGGGCCACCAGCTCGGGGTGTGGAGGCCACAGCTGCAGAGGGGCCGGGTGGGCAGGGGTGGGCCTCATGCTGGGCAGCCCTGGTCAGCTCAGCTGCAGTAACAAAATACCCGACTGGGGCCTTAAACGCAGACATTCGTCTCTTGCAGCTGGTGGCTGCAAGTCCGAGATCAAGGTGGTGGCCAATTTGCTTCAGGGTGAGGGCCAGCTTCCTGGCCTGCAGATGGCCACCTTCTCGGTGTGCCCTCACACAGTGGAGGCATAAAGGTCTGGTCCCTTACTCTTCTTGTGAGCACTAATTCCATCATGGGTCCCTACCCTCATGACCTCGTCTAAACCTAATCACCTCCAAAGGCCCCCCTCCTGATACTATCCTATTGAGGGTTAGGGCTCCAACACATGAGTTTTGGGGGGACACATTCAGTCTGTAACACTGGGATCCCGCCACAGACTGGGGGCCCTGGTCCAGGTGTCCAGTGGCCCAGGCCACGGGGAGGGGGTTGAAGAGCCTCACCTCCCATGCACTGGGAAGGCAGGGGCAGCCCTGTTCCTGGGAGGCAGCCCCCGAGGGGCTCTGTCCACGAAGCCTCTGTTGCTGTCTTGCTGATAATTCTTCCCTCCTACTCAGCAAGGAGGACGCGGAGGTGGCCCCCAGGACAGCTCCCCTTTCCCCACATCCCCAGTCCGGCAGGAGGGCCCGTGGTGCTGATGGTGTCGATGTGCAGAGAATGCAGGGGTGCGGAAGTCCAGATCCGCTGCCTTACGCCCGGCTCGGGTCATGTTTATCCTCAGAAGCCCTGTGCCAGGGCCCCCGCCCGGCCTCGCGGCCCTGTTAACTCAGGCTCCAGGATAAACACCCATTCAGCAGCACAAGGCTCCTTTGTCCCAGAGAGAGGATCCGGCCAGGATGCTGCCCGGATGGCCCGTGTCCTCAGCATGGCCAGACGCCCTGCGTGGCCTTCTCTGGGCAGACTCCTGGCCTGGCTCAGAGAGGCCCCAGCAGGGGAGGGCCCTGGACAGCTCTCAGAGTGGCCGAAGAGGCCAGGCTGAGCTGGGTGAGGAGGATGCCCCTCTAGGCCCCTTCAGAGCGGAGAGAGGTGGGAGCCCCGCAGCCATGCTGCCCCCCTGCCCTCTGGGCCAGACACGTGGTGGGAAGGTGAGGACACCGAGGAGCAGCAGCACGGCCTGTCTGCAGCTTTCCAAGCCACGGGGCACCTGGCGAGCCTGGAGGCTGCAGGCCCCACTGGCCCCTCCTCCACCGAGGCCCTTGTGGCTCCCCATCCTGCAGGCAGAAGAGGTGCTGCTCATTCCCTGCACCTTGCCCGGCCTCTTTCCAGCCAAGGGTCAGTGGTTCCCATGGGCCTCAGTTTCCTTGTCTGTGAAGTGGGCCTTTATAGGCTCTTGAAGGCTCCTGGGCTTCTAAGCTCCTCTTGGGTGGGAGTACACCCCATTTCTATCTAGAGGTGGGGGTGAGATGTGGGGTACATATCCAGGAGTGGGATGGGGGGTCCCTGTGCAGGGTGAGTGGGATGGGGGAGGTTCCTGTCCAGGGGCAGGTTTGGGGTCACGTGGGGGACCGCATATTGAGGGCAGGAGCCTGGGTCATTCCGGGAAGGGGCCCAGTGTGACGAGGGATCACAGAGCCCTGAGCAGAGCCCTGGTCGGTCAGCGTGGGCGGCGCTGGGACACAGCGAGGGCTAGGCTCTGCGTAGGAGGAACACTTGTGCTTCCTTTCCAAAGAGGGCCCGTGTCTTGGGGCTGCCCTGGGTGGGGCTGGTGGGAGGGGCCCCAGATATCAGCGCCTCCAGCCATACCTGGTTTGCAGTGGGGGTGTCCAGGAGGCCTCCCTGAGAAGCGGCTTTTAAGCAGAGAAGTGATGGTCATGGGGCCGTGTCCCACTGGCCCAGCCCTAGGGTTTGACCCTTACACCTGGAGCTGGGAGCCATGGCAGGTTCTTGAGCACAGGAAGGATGAAAAGGAACCCCCTGGTGGCTGGACTGAGGGCAGGAGGGGGGCCCAGACAGGAAGTGCTGCAGGGATGGGTAAGATGGGGCTGAGGGGGACCGGGGGAGAGGTGGAAGGGGCCTGGAACCTGGGCAGAGTTGCCGTCCTCCCACCCCCAGTCCCTGTCCTCACCTGGCCTTTTGTCTCCATACCAGGCACATCCCTCTGAATGCACTGAGAACAAATGTGCCCTCCCCCTGTGGGTGCCTGGACACTCCACTGGCCAGCCGGAGCCCCACAGTAGAGCTCCGGAGCAGGGACCTCACCACAGGGTCCCTGCCCCTGCGCCACAGCTCAGGCCAACAGCACCCCCTGGTGGCAGCTGGGCGAGTTGCTTCCACCTGCAGGTCGGTCCCGAGGAGGCCGGTTGCGAGCCCCGAGTCACAGCCCAACAATTGTGGCAGGTCTGGGATGGCGCCCTCAATGGTGGGGTGACTGGGCAGGCCTCAGCCAGGGTCCCTTTGTGGGGACCCCCACTCCTCGCCCCGTTGATGGGAGACAATACCTCTTTTGCTGGCGGTTCCTCAGGCCTGGGTGCGAGCATCTCCTTATCCGTGGCCAGGTGTGTTTTACTCACCTACGCCCTTTGCCTACTCCTTGAGGAGAGCGAGATCTGGGCCCAGCAGCACCAGCACCACCTGGGGACAGGTCAGAAATGCAGATCCTTGGCCTGCCCAGACCTACTGAGTCAGGTACTCAGGAGGCCCCATGCCCTCTGGCCGGTTCTTGGGGCCACAGTGTGAGGATACAGCTCCAGGGCAAGGGGCCACATCTGAGCCCGAGACCAGCATCCAGCCAGCTCTGTCCGTCTGTGTCCAGGGACAGGGGTCCCCTGATACTGACACAGGCTGGGCCTCTGCCCAGTCCAGAAGGGCTCCTGGGGGTGGCCTCACGCCCCACTGTACCTGTCCCACACTGCGAGGGCTCCCTCTTGCCCCAGCCCCTGTACCACATGGTCAGCGAGAGACCAAAGTAAGGACAGTGCTTGGGCCAGTGTCCAAGGGTCCTCTGGAGGAGGCCCTGGGGGCCTGAGATGCAGCCCCAATGCCCACTGGGCCAGGGGTGTCGACTCTGAGACCCCCACTTTTAGACTTTGTCCTGAGTTATGTCTGTTCTGCTCAGGGTTTTCCAGAGAAAGAGCCAGGTCTCCCCAGCCTCATCTGTTTTGTCTAACCCTCCTGCAGGAGGTTGCTGTCACAGAAGGGGCTCACGAGTGCGCGTCTGGCGGGGAAATCAAGAGTCTGCGGGGCAGGCAGGCAGGAGTTGACGCAGCCTTGAGACAGGCTTCTCCTTCCTCGGGGAATGCTTTGCTCCCAAGGCCTTTCAACAGATAGGACGAGGCCCACGTGATCAAGGACGGGTCAATACTACTGACCGTGGGTGTTAATTAACCACAAGGACAAAATACCTCAGCGACACCTTGGTGAGTGTTCAATTAACAGGGGCCTGCAGCCTCGCCAAGTGACACAAAGCCAACCAGCACCATAGCTGTTTGTAGTCTTTTTTTTACATTAAAACTTCAGTCCCTTTGGATTTTGGTCTGTGGTCATGAGGCACCCCAGGACACACGGCTGATGGGAGAAGGTGGGGCAGACTGGGCGGGACTGGAGCCCCTTGGGCTGTCCCTCGAGCAGGGCCACCCACCCGCCCATTGGGCAGCTACGAGGTGTCGGGCAGGGAAGGACGGAAGGCACAGTGGGCGACAGCAGCTGTGGGGTGGCTCAGTCAAAACCACCAAATTTCATTTTAATCAAGACCAGGGCAACTTCAGCGCTTAGACTTAAGGGAAACTTTATTTAGTCTTCTTTTTAAAGCAATCTAGTTTAAAAACGAGTTGAGGTTAAGAGAAGAAAGAACATGAAACCTAGCAGAGTCAGACAGACACAGACAGACAGACAGACAGGCTCGGGTCAGGGGCTTCCACGTCAGATCTTCTCCATCTTGGATATGAGGTCGTCACAGATTCTGGTGAGTTCATCATTTTCTTTAGTCTGAAGGAGAGAAGTGGGATCCCTAGGCTTCTCGCAACACCCAGAGGAAGGACACCAGGACAAGCTGTCCCGCCTGGCCAGGGGAGGTGGGGGCTGGGGAGGAATACAGTGGCCTAGCCTGGGAGCAAGCCACAGGGGCCTTCTAGAAGGTACTGTCTGATGGCTCCTACTACAGGGCAGGTCCCAGAACAGGAGGGCTCCTCCCCTCCCATTCCACCTGGAGGCCTTGGGTCCCCTGAGCCCACCTTCTGCTCGATGGTCTTCTCCAGCGAGTGAATGCGCATCTGCTCCTTCCTCAGGCTTGCCTGGAAGGCCAAGGCCTCTGCTTGGGCCTTGCTCCGGACCTGGGCGATCTCCTCGTTTGCCCTGGAGAAGCAGAGGGCAGAGCTGAGCCCATGAGGGACTGGGAGTCACCCTCTCAGGCTCCCTAGACCTTTCTCCACCGTCTCCTGCCCGGCCGTGTCCTTCCCCCCAGTACTCACAGCTTGAGCTTCTCTTCTGCGTGGGCCTTCAGCGCTTGGTATCTCTGGCCTTCCCTTTCAATTCTTACTATGTAGTCCTCGACGCACTTCTTCAGCGATTCTTCATTCTTTAAGTAACGAGCAGAAGTTAACTGCTAACAGTACACTATTCTGTTTGAGACTGTCTGGGCTTGGCTTTGGGGGCCCCAGGGTCAGCTGTGGAAAGGTCTACCATCGAGGCTCTCGGAGATGTTAGTGAAACAGCAGCTCGAGCTTCCTTAGAAGACGAGGAAGGCCATGTGGAAACACTTCCCGTTTTTCTTTTGGAAAATGCCCCTCCACACAGCCCCAGGCCTCCCCATCCTGTGGTTCAGGATGGCCCCCTGAAGCCAGGCCTGACCCCAGACCCCTCAACAGCTGCTGTCACCCACTCTGGGCCCCCTGCCCATCCCTTCAGCCTGCCTGGCATGTAGAGCCCACCTGTGTGGCTCCCCACACCTACGCCCAGGCACCATGGGAGAAAGGAGGCCATACGTGCTGGGGCCATGAACAGCTCCTGCAAGCCCCCCCACTTCAGGGGCCAGGTCTCCCTGCTGGCCCCAGGAGGGGTGACAATAGTAGGGAACATCTGGACACAGGGATACGGCTGTCTACCTAAGAGCCATGCGGGGATGGCCTCCTAGGCAGTGTCATGTCCAGTTACAAGTGATGACGCCGACAGCTGAGGGGGGCAGGCAGAGAAGTGGCTGCCTCTGCTTGGTGCCCTCTCCCGGGACCCCTACTTGCTTCCCAGACTCAACACGAAGGCTCACACTCCCGCCACTGTGTACTTGTCACACTACCCTCTCAATGACACTGATCCCTGCTGTCCCCATGGCCTTCACTGGCCCTGTATGCCCCCAGCCCTGAGTGCCTGGCACTTTGACTGTCATGTACCAGGTGCTCGAGATCTGTGGCCTTGTCTCCTTGTTCTGGCAAGTCCTCAGCCAGCTCTTCCTGAGTGAGGCGTGTGGCCCCACAGCCCCCAGTCACACGTGGGTCAGGCCTCCTTATGGCCTCGTGTGCCTCTCCCTATTCTCTCCACTCAGCTCCGGAGGCTGCCATCAGGCCCTTGCTCTCGGCGGCCCCTCCACTGCCTGCCGAGAAGCTCCCCAGTGGCCGAGCTGAACTGCAGGCACCCAACCTTGAGTTTTGGTGTATTTCTCAATTCAGAACTTCCACCTGGTCCTTCTCTAGTTTTGAGGTCTCTACTGCAATACTCTTTTGAATGTAGGTAAGTTACTTTTCAAGTCTGCATGTGCCTCTTCCATGACGGGATTAAGTGAGCAAGGAAGGCCCTGGGAGGGAGCTGGCCCCGTCAGACTGGCTCGGCCACCCCAGGACAGGGCAGGACCCTACCAGAGGGAAGGCTGCTGGGGGTGGGGCGCCCTCAAGCCAAAGGCACCGAGTGATGGTCCCGCCTCTCCCAGAAGGGGCCTGCTTCGCATCCCTGTCACACCCCACCTCACGAAGTGCGATGCACTGCCGAGCGCACCAGGCCTGTCGACTGCACCAGGGCAGAGCTGACAGGAGCCTCCACCACCGTCCCAGTCTGTGCATTCACACCTGGAGCCCTGGGGGTCCGTTTCTAGTGACTGTTTCTGATCTTCATTCGGGTTTTCCTGTCTCTTTATCTCCCTCGTTACCCTGTGTCAGGTGGTATTTGTAAAACTATTTTAGAAGTAACGGAAAGCTGAAGATCTTCCTCCATAGAGCCTTCAGGCTGGCTTCTGCCACGCAGCCCGAGACGGCCACTGACCACCCACCAGACTTTGAGGGCAAGATGACATGAGCTCAGCCACAACCCTGCAGGGCCTGCTGGCTCCAGTCCAACCGACTCCCAGGGCCGCTTGAGCGCCCTCCCCTCCAGGCAACAGGCTCCACCTCAGCCGCACTCTCCAGTCAGTGGCCGGCTTCCTTCTCCCACGCGTCAGGCAGCGTCTTTTAGGTCCAGTCCAGCCCCTCCAGGAGGCCGGGCTACTCAGCCTCCACAACTTCCATGAGCTCAGGCAGTGGTCCCTTCCCCGAGCCGGCTCACTAACTGTGCAGTCATCTGTGCGCTGCCCTCCGTGCTCCAGGAGGGGCACCAGCTCCTTTAGGTATCTCCCCTTGCAGAGGGTACTGGAATGCCGCCAAGGGAGGAAGGGGCCCCAGCTGGGGTTGGCGTGGTGGGGATCCCTGCCTGGCCTCCCGCCCAGAACGTGCTGTCCCTTGCCCGGCAGCCCTGTGTGTGGCCCCGCCTCCTGCACGTCCCCACCTGGTGGTGCATGGAGGTCCCACTGGGCCTAGGCCCTCCTCCAGAAGGCAGCTGCTGGCTCCTCAGCACCCACCACACCTGGGCACTCCCTTGGCCGCTACGGTCCTGCCTCCGGGCTCTGCCCTGTGGTTCCTCTGTTCACTGCCTGGCTCCTCCCCAGGCCAACAGCACACCCTCGGCCCACTGGCCAGACTGGCCTCACAGCCCCAGTGCAGGGGAAGGTGTGACCAGGTGCCGAGTTGTGTCACCTTCACAAGGGACCGGGGTGTGGAGAGCAGCCTCTGGCCCGATGGGGCTTGGGCTCTAACATGCAACAAGCTGAGGACACAGGGCAGCCCGGCTCGGCCCCTGACCGCTGCCCACCTGGGACCCCCTGTGGCAGGATGGGCACAGCCCCGCCCAGCACCACCTACCGTGCGGTAGCCTTCGATCACTTCCTTCTGTTTCTCGAACCGCTTGAAGAGGTCAGAGAAAGACTTTTCCAAGGAGTTCAGGTCCGCAGTCAGCTGGTCTTTTTCTTTCAGAACCTTTTGGATCTCAGCTTTGGCAAGTTCCTTCTGTTTCTGAGCCTCCTCTTGAGAATAGAGCAAGCACCTGGGATTAAAGGCCCACACGCGGGCACCACAACCACGAGCAGGGGGGACAGGAGGGGTGTGGAGGAGAGGTGGGTAGCCGGAGTGCTGGCTGGGGCATGCCGCAGTCCTGCTAGAGGCATGGTGACAAGGCCCCCCTCCCCTGTGACGTTCTGGAGCAAGGCATGGGGGCACAAGTGCCCAGGAGACAGCCATCTTCTCAACACCAGCTCTAGCCTGAACCTGGGGAGACAGTGAACCTGGGACCCAAGAGCAGAGGTCCCGAGGAAGAGGGGTGGCGCCGAGACCTGCAGAGCCCCCAGCAACACCTGTCCCACAGGGACACCTGAGGTGGCTCTGCAGCTGATCCCCACATTTGGGGGCTTCTGGGAGCCTGAGTCTCGTCTGGGGTGAGGCCTGGTGCTCCCACCCCCCAGCCCTGGCCTGGATACGCCCAGTGCCCAACACCCGCAGTGGCCGCAGCTGGACACACAGCCACCTGGCGGGGAGAGGGCTGACTGCAGATGCAGAACCCACAGGAAGGACCCCATTTGTTCCCCACCACAGCCCCAGCTCAGGGTCTCGCCAATTTGGGGGCTGACAAGCGCCAGCTGTATGGTGCCGCCCAGTCTCCCTGACCGCCAGGGGCTCCTACATTGGCCTCGTGGCTCCACCACGGGGCCTGCAGGCGGACGGGCAGGTCTCACTCCCAGGAAGAGGGGCCCATGGGTGTCCAGCACTCACCCATTCCCTGGTACACCATCCCCTCAAACCCGTCCATGATCTTCCCCATCTCGATGTTCTTCGCGTGGAGCTCCTCGCACCTGCTCCTCAGCAACAGGTTCTCCTTTTGTGTCGCTTCCACCTGCACAAACCACACACCAAGCTGGTGCTGGGCACCCCTCCCAGGCCCGTGGTCTCTGGGGCAATGTGTCTGAGTTAGGTCAGGGGCTAGGCTGCGAGGAGCCTGGTCAGGCCGCATGCCTCACTCAGTGGACGTCACCAGGCTGGGCAGCCCGCTGTGCTGGGGCCAGCAGGTGCCCAGTGAGAGCGCACATCTCCCTGGGGCGTCCGTCTGTCAAAAGCCCATGGGCTCCCCTGTGTGGGCAGGCGTGTACCGGGCGTGCCACAGGCCCCCAGGAGCCCACGCCTGTGTATAGTAGGTGTGGGTAGGTGAGGCCTCCTGTTACCAGGGAGGCCGGGAGAGCAGCCTGCAGAGGGGACTGGGCCCAGCGGCAGAGAGAACGCCAGACTAGAAGGCAGATGGTCTGAGCTGTGAGCTGCTGGGTCAGCTCTGAGCAGGCAGGTGGCCATGGGGCAACAAGACCCAGCAGGACACAGCTGCCAGTGGAAACAGCCAGCCTGGGGGCATGTGGTCAAGTGCATGTCCCAGCCCGGGCCCAGCGTGCAGGTCTACCCGAGGGGCCCGGCCAGACACCGCCAAGGGGGCCACTGGGGCACTAAGGGGACTCAGGGGCTTGAAGCCCAGCCCTGCCACTCCCGGGGCCACTCAGAGTGGTGCCTACAGAGGACAACTGAGCAGGCTGTCCAGACTCTCAGCGTGTGAACAGGCTCTTTCTGAGATGCTGGATGGAACCAGCATTTTCAGCTAACTAGGTGACGGGCTGGGGGCTCAGTAAGTGGACACTGCGATTCTACCACAGCAGCTAGGTAAGGCCCGTGCTCAGAGCCGTCCACCCCCAGCTCTCAGTGAAGCCCCAGAGCAGTTTGTGGGCACCACGTGCAGGGCCGCAACCAATAGGCGGGGGCAGCACTCTGGGAACCCACCCTCCCCACGCCTTGTCCTCACCGCAGCGTCCAGGTCCTTCTGGCTGTACTGTAGCACGTCCACGATGGGTCCCATGGGCAGCAGCGGACCCCCAGGCCCGAGAACACACAGAGGTGGGTCCAGCACCTGCGGGGGCGACACAGACCAGCTGGGCCACAAGCTCCTCTTGCATCCACCTCCGCTTCCGACCTGTCGTCAGGGAGGACAGGCCCTCGGAGGCTGGGAGGCTCCTGGGACAGCATGGTGAGTGACCTGCGACACGGAGCAGCCTGCAGCCCCTGACTGACCTTCTGAAGCCTTCAGATCCCTGGAAGATAAAACCTGGGCCCTTAAAACAACATGCGTCTCTCTACACCACAAAAGGGCTGAAGCACTTACAGGCACACCCGGAGCTCCGAGGAGGTCCAGCTCCACCAGCTTTGCTGCAGGCGGACTTCCTGAGGACACATCCACTTCCTGCACGCTGAGACCAGAACAGAACGTCAATACGCCTCGTTTCTTCCAGAGCAGGGGTCAGCTCAGGTTTTCCCCAAAGGGCCAGAGAGTAAATGTTTTAGGATTTGTGGGCCACACAGCCTCTGCTGCAACTGCCTGGACTCTGCTGTTGTCAGTGCTAGAGCAGCCACACAGATACGTACAGGAATGAATGTGACTGTGTGCCAATAAAACTTTATTTATAGAAACAGGCAGTGGGCTAGATACGACCCATGGCCACAGGGCTCGCTCTCCCTGCTCACTGCTGCCCACAGTCACTATGACTTATCCGGTTCAGGGATCCACTGGCTGTTCCTTATCAAAGTCACACGTGAGGCCTGGCGTCACCCCTCCTGCACCCAAGGGGCTCCAGCTCCACTGAACGTGCTTTTCAGAGGCTGAATCACGAACACCCCCCTTGCCTAGAAGTCTGTGATCAACAGCGCACCTGGTAACAGCTGCCTATTGGCCGCCGCACTGAGCCCCACAGACCGAGGGGGACATACCTGCTCGTCTCAGGGGCCACAGGTGCTGGCCTCTGAGGGCTGTCCCTCAGGAGCGGGTCGAATTTGAGGTATAAGGACTGTTTCCTCAGGGCTGATTCTGTAAACTGAAGAGGGTGGGCAAATCAGTGGGTTCACGGTGTCCCTGACGGATGACAGCCCCAAGGGTGCGGGGTGACTGCGCTCACCAGGCAAAGGGCCCAGGAAGATTACAACACAACGGTGAGATGCCTCCCGAGGCATGAACGGCCCCAGCAGCAGAGCAGCATGCTCTTGAGTCTGCCTCTGGGTGAGTGGCTGGGATAGGACCTGCTGGGACCGCAGGATGGGGCTTAGGACGGAAGCTGCAGGAAAAGGGGCCCTACCGAGTCCTAGACCACCATCACAGCACCGGGCCCTCACAGCCCGGCAGATGTGGACACTGCTCACGTTCCACCTGCAGAAGTGCTGCAATTGCTGAGGTGTGACAGTGGCATGGGGCTATTCTAGAAAAAGCCCCTTTTTGAGAAACATACTTCAGAAAAGGCTGCTGTGAAGGTGGGGGTTACTTACCAAGGAAGTCCCAAACTGCTCCAGATAATCCACCTCGGCCCCCATGCCTAGAACTGAGAGGGAGCACATGTCAGTGCTGCTGTCGCTACCCCACACGTGGTGGATTATGGGTCTTTATTGAAATAGATGTCAGCTTAGCAGTTTCCCCACCTTGGAGGGAGCCGCCCCCTGTACTCAGGCTGTGGAAACACTGAGCTGTGTCCCTCCCGCTCCACCGTCTATCCTGGACCTGGGGCTGAGGGGCCTTTGCTCTGAAGCGGGGTTTCTGGCCTCATGCTAGTGATACTTGGGGCTGCTTGTTCTGTGAGCAGCACCCCCTAAGGCATGACAACCAAAAGTGTCCCCTAGGGGCCAAACTGCCCTGGTTGAGAACCAGTGTTTACCCTAGAAAAGGCCTTTAATTTCTGATAATGTAACCTTTGCTTAAAAAACTTCAGGGTGCCTCATGCCATCTATAAACGTGACCTCAAAATGGCCCAAAGACCTAAAGGTAAGAGCAGCAACTCAAACTCTTGGAGGAAAACTGAAGGGTAAGTCTTCATGACACTGGATTTGGTAATGATTTCTTAGATTTGACACCAGAAGTACAAGCAACAAAAGAAAAGAATAGATAGGGCTGGCCCCGTGGCGTTGTGGTTAAGTGTGCGTGCTCCACTGCTGGTGGCCCTGGTTCGCATCCCGGGTGCGCACCGATGCACTGCTTGTCAGGCCATGCTGTGGCGGCGTCCCGTATAAAGTGGAGGAAGATGGGCACGGATGTTAGCCCAGGGCCAGTCTTCCTCAGCAAAAAAGAAAAAAAAAAGGTGGATTGGCATCAGATGTTAGCTCAGGGCTGATCTTCCTCACACACACACAAAAAAAAATAGATAAATTGGGCTTCCAAGTTAACATTTGTGCTTCCAAGGACACCACTGAGAAAGTGAAAAGACAACCCACAGAGTGAGAGAAAATAAAGGGTTCTTATCTCAGCTGTACAAGAAACGCTTCTAGTAACAAGACAGTTAAAAAAGGGTGAAGGATATGAGCAGACATTTCTCCAAAGATGACACGTGAAAGGCTGACAAGCACACGAAAGGATGCTTATCACCAGTCGTCAGGGAAACGCAAATCAGAACGAGATGGCACTTCACACCCACCCAGATGGCTGGAATCAGAAAGTCAGGACAAGTGCTGGCGAGGGTGTGGGGAGATCCCAACCCTCACACATTGCTGTAAAGTGACTGCTAAATGGTGCAGCCACTTTGGAAAACAACCTGGCAGTTCCCCCAAAGGTTAAACACAGAGTTACCGTATGACCCAGGAATTCCACTCCTAGGTATATCCACCCAAAAGAAATGGAAAACACATCCACACAAAAAAGTGAACAGGAATGTTCATAACAGCCTTATTCATGGCAGCTGAAAAGTGGAACCAGCTCAAATGTCTCTCAACTGGGGAATGAACCAACAAGCCGCGGTCTGTCCACGCTGTGGAGCACTGTTCAGCTAGACAAAGGAATGAAGACTGACACGCGCTACCCACGGACGAAGCTCGGAAACACTCAGTGGAAGACCAGACACAAACCCACACATGTGACTCCAGGGGCCCTGGGGGTGGCAGGCCTGCCCTAGTAGACCTCATCCACTGCTGTGGTCCCACCTGTACGGTGAGGACCTCGTGGTTATCCTACCATAGGCAAACCCCACGTTCCATCTTGTCTTCCCCGTGCCTGTTGGATTGTACGTAACCACAACTGAGATCCCATCATGTTGTCTTATAGCTTTCAAAGCAATTCAGTCACAAGTTCTCACTTTACATCAGTGACTTGCCCTCCTGCCCACAGGAGCCCCAAGCCTCATTCCCCAGCAGGGGCCTGAGCGGCTCATCTCACCACCGCGGGCTCTCACTCCAGCAGCATCTCTCCGACGGGCGAGGCCCAGCGTGTTGCTGTGTCTGCATCTGTGCGGAGCCTCATTCATACTTTTTGCCTATTTTTCTAAGTGAGTCTACAACTTCCATTTCTGGAAACCCCTTATGTTATAGAGGTATCAGTCCTGTTCTCTTGAAAATGCCCATCTTTTGACAAACCAGAAGTTTCTGCGTGAATCACTTCAAATCTGGGAACACAGTAGCCTGTAGAACAATCACCTGCAAATGCCATGAACTCACAGGCTCACAGGACATGTTTCAGGCAAATCGACAGCGGGGACAGATGAGTGACGACCCAGGGACAACGTACCCTCAGCTGGGTCTCGGAAGTGCTCGTCACTCGGTTCTGAGGCTGGCTCTGGCCCCTGCCGGGGGTGGGGCGCTGGGTCAGCGGGTGAGGCTGTCGGCTCACTGCCTAGACTGCTGGTGGGAGCCGATGTGCCCAAAGAATTCATGGTTCCCTCCTGGAAGGAAGGTCAGTGTCACCTTGGGTGGCTGTTTGGGCATCCCGTGCAGTCGAGGGTCCTGGATGGGGCCTTTGCTTCACCCAGTCTTGTCAAGGTGAGGGGGTGTGGGGGGCAGGGGCTGAGGGGTAGCAGTGTGTCCCACCCGGTCACCACTGGCTTCCCTCTGTGGTCACAATACACAAATGGTGGCGACAGTGCTGGGACACGCTTCCACTCGGTCACGCACACGCATGCGTTCTGTACCTCGCCGGCTGCTCCTGAGGTCCCGGCCAGGGTCTGCACCACAGGTGTGTCATCTGCTGAGGCTGAAGGCACCTGCCTGAAGAGAAGGGTCAGCAGGGCCTGTGCCCATGTTGTCCCACCAACCCCCTGAGCTGCCACCTGCACTGTGGACCCTCACCTAGGAAGCCAGGCACAGGGGCTAAGCTGGGTGACCCGGCAAAGCCGTCCCCACCAACCTCTCCTGCGCGAGAATCGTGAGCCTGGAAGGAGGGCTTGGAAGCAGGCAAGGAGCTCTGAGGTAGTTTCAACTCAATAACAAAGCAAACCACAAGGATTCATTCATCCTTTCTACCGGGAAACTGGCAAAAGCAGCTGGGAGGGCAGGGAGCCGGATGGGGACCCTCTCACTGGGCAGTTCCAGGGCAGGGACGGCAGCCTGCCAGGGAGTCAGGGTCTCTTCAGAGAAGCTGCGAGCCTGTGAGCTGGCCAGCTGCTGGCCAAGCTTCTCTTAGAACCAAACACTTGGCGGCCACCAAGAAGCTGTCGCCAGAGAGCAGTGAGCACGTGAGAAGGCACTCACACCAGGAGACAAGAAAGAGCCTTTAAGAGCCACAGCCAGTGCTAACGGCCCTTCATCATCTTTGGGATAATGGGTGTTTTTTCTTCTCTAGATATCTTTCTTGAAATTCTAAACTCATTACACGTAGTGTTCTTAAAAAGCACAAGGGGCCGGCCTGGTGGCATGGTGGTTAAGTTCATACGCTTCACTTCGGTGGCCTGGGGTTTGCAGGTTCGGATCCCGGGCGCGACCTACGTACCACTGGTCAAGCCATGCTGTGGCGGCATCTCATATAAAGTGGAGGAAAATGGGCACGGATGTTAGCCCAGGGCCAGTCTTCCTCAGCAACAAGAGGAGGATTGGCAACAGATGTTAGCTCAGGGCTAATCTTCCTCACCAAAAAAAAAAAGTGTGTGGGGGGGAGAGGACGTAACAGGGTGCAGGGACACTCTCTTTCCAGCTATTTCACAATAGGCAAGGCTGCTGTGAGCACCCTTCCTCTGTCTCGGGACGGGCCGGTGTGTGCCCTGAGGCCCCTTCTCAGGGGCACGTAGGTGGCATTTCTGGTCTCAGGTCCACCAGCACACGTACCACAGAGCAGCTTTCCTGACATTGCCACCCCATACTCACTGGTTCAGAGGTGAGTCCTCCAAGCCCGGAGGTGCAGTGCTCAGCTGTGAGGCCCCGGGACCGTCCTGGGGGTGTTCTGGGGGCCGAGCCTCCCTTCCACCTCCGAACGGGTTGAAGTTTGGGTCGTCCAGCTTGTCCCAGTCCAGGTTGTAAGACCCCCAGAGAGGGAGAACAGGACCCTCATCTGCCTCCTTGGGGGTCTTCTGCCTCACCTCCGGTCTCCTCGAGGGAGGTTTAAGGCCAGGTCTCTTCCCCAGTTTCCTTGGTGGGGGCGGCCTTTTGGGGGCAGCCTCATCAGAGACGTCAAATTCTAGCTTTATGGGCCCATTCCTGCAAGAGTCAGCCTTTTGACCATCGGCCTCTTCCTTCTGAGGACTTGGGGACGTGGCCTCTCCAGCCTTCAGAGGGCTAGCCAGGGCGGCATTCTCAGGACCAGAAGCATCCTCAGGGTCTGCAAGGGCCTTGCCAGGCAGGTCTGCAAGGGGCCCTTCTCCATGTGCTCCTTCGGGTGGAGGACTAGGAGGCGAAGCAGCCCCGGCCGAGGAAGCAGGGATCCCCTGCAAGCTTCCTCCTGCCGCTGTGTGAGGGTCCTCTGTTCTGTCTTGGGACACCATCCCGAGAGGGTCTTCTGGAATTTCAGAAGTGGACGTAATGCTTTTCTCTAAGGAATAAAAATGAACGTTTGCCTCCAAGGTTTGCTCAGGGCTGCCAGACATTCGTCCTGGAGATGCCACCTGGTTTTCAAGACTTTCCAGCATCTGGGGAGAGCTTGACGGGTTCAGGCTGGCTGGGGGAGCTGAGGTGGGCCCGCTGGAACACCTGTCTTCAGAGGCTGGTCTCACGTTCCCTGGAGGGGGGTTGGCATCCAGCACTGCTGGTTTCTGGAGAATTCCATCGGTCGTTTTGGTGTCCACTTCCTTGGTGAACTGTTGGCTTTTTAGAAACAGACTTAGTTAATACCAAGCAACCCATTTCGTTTTTTACATTTTAGCCCACATGAAAACATTAGCTAAAAACAGAAAAAAAGAATGTTTAGTCAACCATCTCCTCAGGATTAACTGTTACAAGTATAGTCCCATAAATCAATGCTGGTGAGCAACCTAGGGACACATGGGTTTCTGAGAGTGAGCAGAAACCTGACAGATACATGACGAAAGTTAAGGTTTTCTGTGCTATCCTACTTTCCCCTTTTGGTTGGGGACCACCAGCTACATAGTCAGGGACAGTCAGGCACACGAGGGTCAAGCCCTTCACTGAAGAGAGAAAGGCAGGTCGAGAACACTGCCTTCAGAAAGCAGGGCCCCAGCTCCTAGGGCCACCCTCCCTGGGTCCTCCTGGCCTGCTCCCTGACTTCTGCTCTGTGGCTCTGCAGAAACAGGGCAGAGGCAGGAACCACCCTGGCCCTCGAAGCAGGTCAGATCCTGCGGCCAAGAGGCCGGGTCTCCCTCCCTTCCTGAGGCTGTTATAAAGGAACAGTATTTAAGTCCCTCTAATCTCACTCAGCTGAATTTCAAAAAGTATAAAACTGAAGCTGACAAGTAGCAAGGACACCTGGGGAGGGGAACAGATTCAGGCTCGAGGAGCTTCCACGAGGAGACAGGACCGTGGCCCCAAGAACATTTTACTTAAGTTAGGTGAAGGGTATGTTAGCGATTCTTTGTTTTTATACCTTGCTCTGTACATCTGAAACCTGTTTAGAAGAAAATGCAAGTTTTAAACAGCTTAAGTCAGCAAAAGTCAAAATGAAAACGTGCCAGTGAGGACCCTTCCCACTCTGGATGCAGAGGGTCCCTGGGGGCCGCAGTTGGGTTAGTTCAGCCTAATCTGGGGGTGAAGAGCTGCCACTAGGGTCCTCCTTTCCAGACAGAGGCAGGAAAGGCCGTGGCACTCACTTAGTAGACCAAGCCAAACACCTAACTCCAGGTGAGGCTGCAAAGAAGCTTCTCCCAGTTAAAGCCAGGTGTTTAAAACCTGGTCCCTGAGGCCACTCGCACTCTGACCAGATTACACAACAGACAGCTCCTCTGCCTTTAAAAGAACACAGCTCAACTTGCAAGCAGAAGAGAGACCCCAGTGGAACAAGAAAAAAGAAATAAAACCACAAAGTGCCCTTCCTTGGAGATGTGAGCAGGACATTTTGTGAAGCTAGAGAAACAAAAAATGAGGCCAACTTGTTGGCAAGGGTACAACGAAGGAATGGAATATGAAATTTAAACTTATTATAAGTGTTCCATTATCCACTTTTCCAGTAACGACTTCCGATGCCAAATACTCTGGACCACGCACCACACAAGCTCAGAGCGAGACCAAGAGAAACTCAACCAGATGAGCAGAATTTTCCTGCCGAGTCTATGAGAGATGCTACAAACTGCAGTACACAAGCAGCACCCACACTTACTTCTCTTTCTGCGTCCAGACTTGAGGAGGGTTTCTTAACCCTCCGGCATCACCCAGAGCAAAGCAAGCCTCCGGTTTGCTGCTCACAACAGGACTTAGAACCCTGTGCGTCTGTGGATCCCGCAGAGGTGTCTGAAAAGTCACCTGTTGGGAGGGAGACAGCACCTGTTCACCAAGTTCGTCTTCAACCACTATGCGAGGAGCACCCTGCCCTGCCAGCTCATTTAAGTCACCAGGAAAGCAGGTTCCAAGGTGACCTAACATGACGCACGGTGATCTCACATGGGCACAACGCGCTCACCTTCACGGCTTTGGCTATGCTTTTGGGTGGCACATTTTCCTTCTGTGACAGACGAAGAACAGATGATCTTCCGGTAAGTTCTGGTGGCGAAAACAGGAAGTTGCAGTTCTCTGTACTTTTGTCACCAGTGACATTTTCGTCATTGAAGATCTGCAGACTCATTCTGAAAAAGCAAACAGCGTGTGTCAGCATGAAGGCAGCAACACTGCGGCACCTGGATGCACCAACGTGAAAAAGATGGAGCTGACTCTGCAGCGCGGCCGGGAGGATGGCCCCTTCCTGCGCAGCTGGTCACACCTCAGGCAGTGTGTCCTCTGCCAGGTGCTCCCTGTCCTGCTGCAGGGGAGCCACCACCTCCCAGGCCTAAGGGCTAGAAGGGCCTTCAGCCTTTGGGGCAAAGAGGAAAACCCAGGTGCTCCCAACAACTCGAACTTCATGGGTAAAAGTCAAGAGACAAGTAAAAGGTGGCCTTGGAGAACACCAGAAGAGGCAGAGGAAGCCTAGGTCTCCCACAGGCCTCCACTCGAGGCGCCAAGGCCGTGTCAGAGCTGGAGCAGGTGGCCACGCTGGCAAAGAAAAGAAAAGCGGAAAGGTGTGGTGGCTCACTCTTCCCCACGTGGCTGGGAAATAGAGACCAGGTGAGGGCAGCAGGACCGCCAAGGCCCGGAGGAGGAGCTGGCGAAGGAAATGCGCAGTGAGGTGCAGAACTAAGTGGGGAGCTTCTACATCCGGGCCTGGAGTCTGGAAATACACCAGGAGCCTCCAGTCAGGCCCAGAAGGTTCTGGAACAGCCCCATTCCTTCCTACAGTTCTCATCATGGTCGCCAACATGACATTCCCAATCTAAGAGTCATCAGAGAACTGGGTATGGACCTGCGCAAGGCGGCACCATGGGTACCTGCTGGTGGTGGGGGCCCTGGGGGCTGCAGCTCGAACAAGGCTGAGGTGTCTGAGGCAGAAGGAGCAAAGGGGGCCTGGAGGGGTGTGAGGTCGGCACCTTGGAGAGTGTGAGAGGAGGCCGGGAAGTGGCGTCAGAGGCTCCTGCAGCAGGCCTGGGCGGGGTCAGCCCTGGCTTGGCCAGCGGGCCCCCCTTCGGTGTGTGGAAGCGGGAAAGACTCAGGAGTCCAAGGTGACAACTAGGTTTTCCGCCTGAACAACTGGGTGAAACACGGAAGGGGGCCTCGAGGACAGCTTTCTGCCCGTCCCTGGCCTGGGGAAGGTGGGAGAACAGTGATGGCGGCCTCCGTCGGTTTGGCTTCTACTGACCACGGGACCACGGGCGGGGGCTCCGGAGCAGAGGCTGCCCTGCGTGCGCGGACTGCGGTGGGGCAGCAGCGGGTGGGGAGGGCTCGCGCCCAGGTCTGCGGCGCAGGTGCGCGGCAGTGGGTGACGGCTCACAGCTGGGGCTGGAGAAAGCAGCAGAAGCTGCCCCGTTGGAGGGGGGCGTGGCCGCGCAGAGCCGGAGGGGCTAGGGGTCCGGAGTCCCGTCTCCGACACCCGGGCAGGGGGGCGGGCAGCGAGCCGGGCGCGCGTTCAGTGCTGGAGACGTGCATTTGCAAACCACAGCTACTGGTGGTATGTGAGGCTGGACAGGGTCACCGAGGTGAGGAGTGGCCGCGGGCCAGGCCCTGAGGGACCCCGACACACGGACCTCCTGGAGGATGACCTTCGCGGAGGGCGACAGAGGGGAGGCGGCGGAGCCAGGAAGGCAGGAGCCCGCCGGGCGTCTCGGGCGGCGGGGCAGAGGTCAGCCGGCTCCGCTCCGGGCTACGGCGGGCCGGCGGGATGGGCCCGCTGAGAGGCACCGGCGAGAAAGCGTCCCTGAAGAGGCGGCGGGAGGGCAGGGGCGCCGCGGGGACACGCCGAGGGTGGACCCGCCGCCGGGAGGGCGGGTGTCGACAGCTCCGCGGCGGACAGAGGCCGGGGCCGGGCCGGAGGGTGCGAAGGAGGCTGGGATGGAGCCCCGGG